GGAACAGGCTGGTGGTACAGGGGACCTGCAGCAACTTGGCTGAGTTTCCAGGGAGCTGTGCTGTGTGCCACGGGCAGAAAGGCAGTCCCCAAAGACTACACATTGTGTTATTCTCTTGGCATAACATTTTTGGAATGGACAGTAGATCAGTGATTGCCGGGGGCAGGGCGGGGGGGCTAGGGATTGAATGTTGGAGGAGGCCCTGGACAGAATGAGAAAAGGTCACAGCTACAAGGAAGCATGAAGCTTACACTCCAGTTGTATAGATAAGAACACAGAGGTCTGGAAAAGTAATTTTGACTCAGCCAAATATCTAATATGACATAAGGGAGATTTGAACCTTGACCTCTGTCTCATGTGATGTAAGACACTACTGCTTGGAAATGGGAATCCAAAATCTGATAGGCTGGGGTTTAAATCCTAGCCCTGCCAGTTGTTTGCTGTGTGATTTGGGGTAGGTTGCTTAATGTGTCTGAGCCTCTATTCCTCACTTGTAGGATAGAGCTAATAGTACTATTGTCACTAATTTTTTTTTAAAAAATATGTTTTTAGTTGTCAACAGACTTTGTTTATATGTGGTGCTGAGAATTGAACCTAGTGCCTCACTCATACTAGGCAAGCACTCTACCACTGAGCCACAGTCTCAGCCCACAAAATTTTTTAGGAGGGTTATATCAAGGTATTTTCGAACTTTTTAAAGTACCATTTACTGAGACAGGAGCATCATAAGTTCAAGGCCAGCATAGGCAATTTAGCAAGATTCTCTCTCAAAATACAAATTTTTTCAAGAAGAAAAATTAAAATACGACATGAGTTAATCATTTTTCCATCAGAACTAGTTGGTGTGCACATTAAAACATTTAACTAAGAGGTTTATTAAATGCATATTCTTATTATATGTGGTATTTCATTTTCTCTTTCACTTTTAGTATAGCGCCTTGTGACTGCTCTGTTGATTTCATGACCACTGACTGAAGTGAAAATACGGCCTAGTGCTGTGAAGGTAATGTCACAGAAGCACTCTGCTCTCAGTGGCGCTCCATTGCTTGTGCTAGGGAGGGTGCAGGCCTCAAGGCATCCTCACTCCTGGAGGCTGGGTTAGTTCTGAGCGAGCACTTTCTCCTTTCCCCACCGGATGCTCAGCTTCTGAGGGCAAAGATTTACCTTGTTGATGATTTAATTCTCAGAACCCTAGCACAGTGTTCAGCACCTGAAAGGCGGTGTGGAAACCTCTAAGATGAAGGGTGGGGATGGATGCAGAGTTGACATGGGCCTAGGTGCTGAGGGTTGGCTGGAGCGCAGGATCCCTTGCTCTCCCTGCAAGTGCTGAAATGGGAATGGCAAGAAGGCCTCTGGGAGCATTCTTAGAGGACAGAGTGGACCAGACAGATGAGGCACCAGGGGTCTTTCCCACTTGCAAAGGCTCGTAGACTACAAGGAGGAGTGGTGTTATTGAGGTAAACTTTTCTCTCACTTAAAAAATAATTCACAAAATTACTAACAGAGAACTTCCATAGGCCTTTCCGCTGAACTCAGCAAGGTGGTGTTGGGTGGCCCGGGGCAGAGCTGCTGCCCAGGACACAGGAATTCCGCCTTTGTGTCTCCCTAGCTAATGCTGTGTCCCTGCCTTAGCCGGGGCCTGGGAGAGGACTGGTCAGAGTCAGAAGGGATGGAGATCCAAGGAAGGGGCTGAGTGGAGGATGTTTTCCAGATCTGAAGAGGGAGGGTCGGTGTGTTTTTGTCAGTCACACAAGAACTGTTGACATTCCTCCCCTGGCTGCGCTGCTCACCTGCCCTTCTGCGCGTGATGCCAGCCGTGTTGTCTGAGCTGTCGTGAGGAGTAATTGGTACTTCTGTTCCTTGGGGTTTGGGGGAGAGGAGAGCGTCTATTAAAATTGATGCCTGTTATAAAGTCAGGTCTGTGGCCCAGTAATACTTTGTTAGCATTTCTTCTAGGGGAGAAGAATGAAGCCTGGTCTTTTTTTTTCTTCTTCTTCTTTTTTTTTTCCTCCTCACTAATAGGAAAGAATATGTCTGGCCACCTTGCTGCATTTTTTAAAGATCATTATTGAAATTGGCAGAGTATTACTCTTCAGAAAGAATTTCTTATATTGTAGGAAGCCTCTTTTCCACAAGAAGTTCATTTTCCCATATGTAGCCCAGGCAGCTTCCTATTATGTCGTGTGCAGGGTAAATGAGAGCCACCCCGTGTGCGTGTGTGCTGAAATTGAGCTGAGGGGAACTTTGAAGCAAGACGAGGCGTTGTCAACCAGCATGCACCATTAACAGGAAATAGGACTGATTTTATTCAGCATTTTTCCTTCTTTACAGTAAAATGACTGTAGTTACCATTAAATTGAACTTGATAGACATCCCATCTGCCTCCCTGCAGACTGAGGAGAAGTCACCTGTCCCTGGAGCTGGACATATCAGTTTGCTGTATGAGTGCCCAGTGACCCTTCATCTCACTGCTGGTTTTCATTTTTGGGCACCAATTTGGGAATGCTGCCTAAGGGAACCAAGCTTTAGGTCACATGCTTTAGCATTGGGCCACAGCCTTTTCCTGGACAAGGGAGAGTGTTTGTCCTTCTCAAGGTCTGCCAACTCAGAGAGCGGGTACTCTGCATATCGTTTGGTTTTGTTTTGGGTGGTGTGGCCTCAGTAGTCCTTGCATCTTTGGGATGGTGGCGAGTGCAATTTTATGTTCAGTCTCTGAGCATCTCCACCTGTCAGCAGAGCAGCTGGCTGTCAGAGGTGCCGCTGTTGCGCAGAGCCTCTGTGACACATACGTTGCCAACAAAAAGGCATTTCCATTTCTGTGGCGAGCACAGAATTTGGAGTGGCCTTTAACAGAAGACTTTGAGTGTTCTCTAGAGTCTCCTGAAGTCCCCCACTGCAGCGGTGCCCTGTGCTGTTGCCATGGCTTTTCGTCTAGACAGACATACCTGAAGAGCATTGTCCTCTTTTTTTTTTTTTTTAAGAGAGAGGTGAGAGACAGAGGGAGAATTTTTTAATATTTATTTTTTTTAGTTTTGGGCGGACACAACATCTGTTTGTATGTGGTGCTGAGGATCGAACCTGGGCCGCCCGCATGCACGCACGCACGCCAGCCAGGCGAGCACATTACCGTTTGAGACACATCCCCAGCCCAGAGCATTGTCCTCTTGATGTCTCTAACCCAGTAGCCCACTGGACCAGGAGCTGCCCTCTGACCTCATTGCATGTTGGGGCAATAGGTACCTCTCTTCCATGGCCCTGTTTCAAGATATTTAGTTCTTCTTCAATGGATTATTTACCTTCTAGAAGAGAAATTCTGGTGGTAATTGGGAAAGCTGAACTTGACTCAGAAAGGAGCAGCTAAGCAGACCTGCAGGCACTCTGCCTGGACCTCCTTCAGTGCATTCTTTTTATTCCCACTGCCTTTGGTGGTGGACAGTGCAGGGCTGAGTCTTTCCAAGCTGGGGATTGTGTATGTGAAATGGGACTCGTGAGCACTGCCAATCCAAACTGAGAGCATTTGTGACATTAAAACTGGGTGTGCGGGCTGGGGTTGTGGCTCAGCGGTAGAGTGCTCGCCTCGCAGGTGAGAGGCCCTGGGTGCGCTCCTCAGCACCAGATAAACATAAATAAAGTAAAGATATTGTGTTCAACTACAACTAAAAAAAAAAAAAAACTGGGTGTGCGAAAAGAAAATTTAAGTCAATTAAAAAACATTTCTCTTATCCCTGAGATAAGCAGATTAACAGTGTATAGTGTCGATGTTTTGGCTGCAGACCATTATTTTGCTATTGATCAGAAGAAATATGGTATTTCTGGATCAATAGCTTCAGCAAACTCATCAGCTCTCTTTACCTTTTGGAACATAGTTTCTCTCTGCTTTTTCTTCTTCCAGAATGTCATTATCTGGTTCCTTTTCCTTTTGTCTCTATGACCAGCTACTATCCAGAGAATGACAGGGTCACATTTGAACAGGAAGAAGAGCAGTTGGAGTTCTGTATATATGTTAGACCTTTTTGCTCTTTGTCCTGAAGTTGATGTCATTGATCCTTTCCCACTTACCTCTTATCTATCCTTGTAATGACTTTCCCCAAAGACATATTTTTGAATGCTCTTTTTAGCATCTTGTAAGATACATTGAGTTCTTTGTAATATGTTTGGTTCTTAGATTTTTTCATTGTCTGCTGGATATGTTTTCTAAGCTGCATTTTCCAGGAGAGAAATGCCACAGAATCATTTTTTGCTGATGGTTGGTGAAGGAGACACTCATCAATAGCTGAAAGAGGAGAAATTGGAACACAAAGCGTAGCTAAAGTGGTTTTGTGGGAATGTGATTACAGAGTTGGTTTTAATAAGAGGCTGTTTGGCACTGTTGTCTCTGTGAAATGGGCTTCAGAGGCGGCTGTACTCTTCGTGTCCACCCCATGTGTTTGGAGGGCCATGGTGGGCCAGGGAAGAGGCCTGGGAGGGAGGAGGCCTGATCCCCTTGGAGCTGCTTGTGCCCTTCTGAAACGGGTGGGAGCCTGGGGGCTGTCCCCTCCCTGTGGCTGCCAGGAACATATGTGCCTGTTCTTAGTGACTGCAGCTGCCTGGAGCAGTCCTTAACAATGCTTCCAGAAGGGTAAATCTTCTCATTTGTTTTTAAAAGAGAGAGAAGGAGCCGCTCAGTCTTTACATTGAGTTTGGATCCAGAGCAGGAGGGAGGTAGGAAGTTAGAGGGATTTAAGCGAGCAGGATTTTCTCCCAGGCCTCTCAGCATGTGGACACACAGATCAATTTCTTATCCTGCATTCAGCTGGACACTGGGTTAGAGACTGTTGATCAAGACGTCCCCTCCTGTTTCATATCATATAACGCATTCATTTCAGCCACTGAGCCTAAATTACTGTTTGCTTTCTTTCTGCCTTCCTTCCCCCCCGAAATGGTAAGAACTCGTACAAGGATGAAGTTAGTTTATCCGTGCTAATGCTTTGATTTTTCTTTTCTCTTTCTCTTTGCCACAGTAGGTAACCAGTTAGGGGCCTTGGTACATCAAAGGTAAGCAGTGGGTTATGTTTTATTATTTATTGATCATTTCTAATTGTTTATTGATCCACCATCTGTACTAGAGTGTTAGAAAGTCAGAGGTTGGGAGTGTGAGAGAAACCGTGGGCTAGATTTCTTTAAAACTCCAGGTTTTTGCCAGCCCTTTCCAAGACAGTATAAGCCCAAGGGATGGTCTGATACAAGATATTAAAAAGCAGGTGTTTTGTACAAAAACTTAAATGACTTCCAGCGTGTTGGAGCTGCTCTTTTCTTCCAACATGTTTAATTTAAAAGGAAAGAATATGACGTTGTCCCACCTGGTTTTATGGCTTTCCCAGTGTTTTATGAATTCTTAGCTTCTTCACTGGGGAAGAGTTTGGGGTCTTGGCCCACTGGAGGTGCTGATGGTGCTCAGGGAGTGCGTGGCTGGGGAGGCCAGAAACCAGGGTTCTAGCCCCAGCATGGGGACAGGGTCTTACTTGCCAGAGAACCTCAGCTAGCTGTCTGGTGAGTCCTCTGCCTGTTTCCCTCAGCCTTCCTTCTGTTGGTGTTGAGGATTTAGAAAGCTGTAAAGATCTGTAGGCCAGCAGTAAGGATAGGCTATTATGGCTTCACTGTTATTCTTAAAAAAGGAAGTAGGACACAGGAAACTGAGCCATTCTTTCTCTTTAATGAGGAATCTTACTGACACCTAGATCCCTTGACCTTGACTTGTGTGGATATGTTTTACCCTCTATGTTCTGCTTGAATGTTGGGGAGTTTCTAGAAATCATCAGGTATTAATTAACCCAGACATTTATCTTGGGTTTTCTTGCTGATTCCTTGTTTGCTTTGTTTTGTTAATGAATTAAGATAATTTAAATGAGGAATGAAACACTGGCTGTCCTACGCCATACTTAGGATGTTTCTTTCCAAAATGTCTGTGCCAAACGTGGTAGTCAGAGTTCAGCCTCACGTTTAGAAAAGAACCTTTTCTTCCAAGAAGCCCAAAGCAGCTTGTCTCTACATCTCTTCCCCAGAGTCTGCTGATGTTGTTCCTGAGGGCCAAGGAGCTGCCCGAGCTCCGTGACATTTTGTGTTGTGTGTTGAAGACCCTCTAGTCAATTCCCGCGTAATGTTTTCTGAGAGTAGACAGCTTGTGCTCCATGCGATGGGAGCAGCAGCCTCTCAGTCACGCACACAGGAGTGCTGTCATCCTGGAACAATCAGGATTCGCCTCCTGACAGGGACCCAGCGTCTGCCGCAGGATGTTAGGCCAACAAGGGTTGGTGTCGGCTTCCACGGCACTGCTGATTAGTAAGCTGGGAACTGCCTGATTTGGGGTGAAAACACACATCCTGAGGGAGGAGACAAGCTGGTCCTTGCAGCCAGGCCCGAGGACAGGAGCTCCTGGAGGAGGTATTGCTGCCTCTCAGGGATTTAGCAGCAAGAGCTGTGGATGCTCTTGCATTTCTTCTAAGCACTGCTCTTGCCTCAAACCCACACTTCATTCAGTCCTTTCCATGGTGTGGACAAATCCAGCTGTGTGAAAGATGTTTAGAAGTGCTTGCTTTTTTTAAAAAAAAAAAAAAAAAACTACTTGGATTTAGCTTCTTCCCAAGGTACATGTTTAGATTTAATTGCTTTCTGGGGTGTTGGGCAAATTGGATATTGTCCATGATCCCTGTTTTGTTTGAAAGAGGCAGTGCAGGGGTGTGTGTGTGTGTGTGTGTGTGTGTGTAGGATTTTTGTTTTTTATTGTTTGTTTTGCAGTGGAGGGGGATTGGACATAATAGGTGAGATAGCATTTAACGGAAGTACTTTGCAGAGTAAGTGAGGTGATCATTCTGTTCTGGTCAACACTGATTAGGCCTCTGCTGGATACTGGTTTCATTTGGGGCATTTCACCTTAAAAAAACAGATAAATTGGAGAGAGGCCAGAAAACCATAAAAAAGGCTGGGAGATCAGGAATGTCAAAGTAAAGTTGAATATCGCTGGTCTAGCGAGAACACTGTAATAGAAGTCTACACATCTCCCCAGGCCCCAGAGGATCTGTAAGGAAAGACCCTGGGATTGATGCCTCAGGCTGAGGGAGGACCTGGTGAGGTATAAGTTAAGCATCTGTATACAGAATGGAGGGTGGGGGCTTGTGGCCCAGAAGTTTCTTTCTCTGACATAAGGAGACGAAGACGCTGGTTTTGAAATAGCCATTGACCAAAGGTTCATTGATGGCTCTCTGTAGAAGCTTGTGATTCGTTGGCTAAATTGCGCAATTTATTTTAACCCTTGAAAATTGCCAGTTTGGGAAGCTGGGGAGTCTAGAGTGGCTGCAGAATTCTATACTCTATATTTTTTCCAAAATATTCTTTGTTTTTAGGGCAGTAATAACAGAAGAATTCAAGGTGCCTGATAAAATGGTTGGATTTAGTAAGTATCCACATTATCCACTTATCCTCTAATTCCCATCTTCTTTTTTTTCTTTGCATGTCACCTGTAGTAGAATACTTCGCATGTATGTTCCCCACATACCTAAAGTGCTGCAGATTTCTCTCCAGGCCAAGGGAGAGACCAGAGCTTAGGGTCATAGACACCCTTGCCCCCCGCTCCAGCTACAATACCCTGTATCTATCTGCTGTGCTTCATATGCAGTTTCCTTTGGTGTAGTGCCCAGAGAGTTGAGATGGGCTCACAGGGGCCAACTTAATTTGTAGTGAGCAGTGGGTGAAGTGTAACTGTTGAATTAATTATGTCATTCGTGCATGGTTAAATACAGAATGAGAGGTACATTCTGACTCTGTTCAATTTGTTTCAGTTATCGGCAGGGGAGGTGAGCAGATTTCGCGGATTCAAGCAGAATCTGGTTGCAAAATTCAGATTGCTTCAGGTAAGGGCTTCTTTTTCACAGATCTCCATTTGATAGAAATAAGTATTTTGCACAGTTTTCCAGAGTTGGTACCTTTGCTTGTTGCTTAGAAGTTTGGGGGTTTTGGTAAGTATATGTGATTGCTGTCTCCTTGCACCTCTGGAGTTGGACTCCCACATAAGCACCAAAGCAAAAGCCAGTCCAGAGATAGGACTTCGGTCTGGCTTCTGGGGTGGACCCTCCACAGCTCTGTGGCCAGGCATGGCTCCTTCCTAGCACCTGCCAGCTATGTTTTCTGCACCAGAATATTACGCCAGACACAGTGGGGACTGCATCCTGGCCCCCCGGTGAGCTATCCTTCCCATTGTGGAAAGAGGACACCTGTGGTTTTGGTTGAATTAGCCTGTTTCATACACATTTCAGGACCTTTCCTGGCAGGGTCGGTTTTGACCACGCAATATGTAGAGAGATGGATTGAAGAACAGTTTTTATTTTTTTATCATCTCATATGAGTTTGAACTCTTTCCATTGGGGAGGAAGGGGTCTAGAGGACATTCAACTAGAAGAACGTCCTAATGTTAAAGAGGTGTCTTTACCGTATCTTGAAAGCATTAACTGCTGGTGGCTATTTCTCTTTCAAGTTTTTGAGGAAGGATTTTAAGAAGTACTTTTTTAGGAACAAACTGAAGCATCACATGGGCAGCTGGAAAGAAAGATTTTCCTCTCTTGTCAAATGGCCCAGGACCAGCTCCACGTAGCTGTTACTGATCTCTTTGGATATTCATGCAATAACTGGTAGTAGTCATGGGTACTTACCGTTAAGTTCCTTAGCAGCGTGTCTCAGAGCTGTTTGCGATTGTGTGACCGTTAAACTGCTCTACAGGTGGAGAAACTGAGGAATGGCATGCCACAGTGACTCCAGGGATGACTAGCTTGTGGGCGGGTCAGAGCAAAGCTGAGGCTGGTGGCTAATTCTCATCTGCATACCTCTGTGTCCTGCCACCTCCCTGTGGGACTTGTTTCCAGTTTGAGAACCTAGGGTGGAGCTGCCAGCTTCGTGTTCCATCCCCATGCAGAGGAGACTGTCCTTTTGGGGAGACTGGGCTTCTGTGGAGCTGGTGTAGGACCCAGCACCAGAGAGACAGTCTGCACACAGAGGCAAAGGCACACAGTCGCTGATGCCCACCAACACACCTCATCTTCTTGGTTCTTCTTATAGAGAGTTCTGGGATTCCAGAGAGGCCCTGTGTACTTACCGGAACCCCAGAAAGTATTGAGTAAGTTTATTTTATTTACTTTTCCTTTCACTCTTCTTCCTCCTTCCCCAAATGGGGAGAAATGGAAGGGCAAAACGGTCCCCGAACACTGTCAGTCTGGGCTGCAGTCTGGACACACATCATACGCTTCAACAGGACAAAGATCTGGGAGGTCGCCACACCTGGGGAGCTTTTCTGTTACCAAATACACAAGGTACTGCCTCTTCCTTAACCCTGCAGGGTGCCTCACGGCCATCTCCTTCATAAGCCAGGCTTTAGGAGCAGACATGCATCCCACCTGGACAAGCTAATCAACTTCTTCTCAAGAGTTAACGTCTCCTTTACCTGGGCAGTGCTGGAAGAGAGGGCCTATCAGGCTGTGAGCTACGTAGAGCCTTAGCACCAGGTCTTTTGCCTGGTCTGACCCCTCACCCTCTAATATTTGTGAACCAGTTCTTCATTCTTTGTGACTTTTGCTCTACAGAGTGTTGTATAAACCAGCCAGAGGGTGTCTTGACTGTTGGGGCCCTCGCAGTTGCCCTAAGACTGGCATTGCTTTCCTCTCCTGGTTCGCACATGCTCAGAGCCTCGTACCCGATAGATGTAGGCCTCCTAAACCAGGAACCTCCTAGGGAAAGGGGATATGCTGACTCTAAGTCATCTCACTTTCCTTTTTCAATCTATTGAGTAGCATTGCATATGGGCACAGGGCGCTAAGATTATGTCTGGCTCAATAGGTAGAATTGTTTTATTGTTTCCATTTCTTAGGAGTCTAGATGAGTTTAAATTCTCTTTTTCTCTGTAACATTGCAAGTAGTGAACCAGAATAAATGTCCCTGGCAGGTGTGCATTATAGGGCAAGCTGGATGGTTTAGCTGGAGTCAAGGCATTTTCCTTCCAGCACAGGTTAATCTAGTGCACTAGCAAAATATTAAAAGCTGCTGTAACTGAGAAGATACACAAAGATGATTCTGTACACAAAATCTCAAGACTATAAAAAGCAACACCCATTTCCTACCTCTCTCTCTCCTTCCTTCCACCTCTCTAACCATTCCTGCTTTGTGTCTGCCCAAGGAGTTGAGGCAGTGGGATTTTAGCTTGTGGAGGAAGTAGTCTTGCCTTTTCCAGCCTGTTTGGTGGCTGACTCCTCCTCTGTCTCAGGAACCAAAAAATAGATGGTATTTGGCAGTTTAAAGAATGGATTCTGGCAGGCGCAGTGACTCATGCCTGTAATCCCAGCAGCTCAGAAGACTGAGGCAAGAGAATTGCAAGTTCAAAGCCAGCTTCAGCAACTGTGAGGCGCTGAGCAACTCAGTGAGACCCTGTCTCTAAATGAAATATAGAATATGGCTGGGGATATGGTCGAATGCCCCTGAGTTCAGTCTCTGGTACTAAAAAAAAAAAAAAAAAAAAAATGGATTCTGTACATACAGCTAGGGAAGATTCTGGTGCAGAAAAGGAAAGAAATTGGCTTGACAGGTGACATTGGTAGACTGGGTTGCACTGTGGCCACATTGCAGTTTCCCTCCCCCGGGATGAATCAACCAACAGAAGGAGCATGGCTTGGGGAGCACAGGGTCCCAACTGGGATGCCCCTGAGTGCAGAGCTGTAGTGGGACGCTACCTCCCCTCCCACCTCTTAAAACCAGAGTGGCGATCCTCAGTTGTAGGTTGCAGGTCATAGAGCAGTTTTTTTAGCCATGGAGAAGAAATCTGGAGTCTGGAAGTGTGAACTGTGAATACTAACCCTTGCTTTCTTTCTTCCCATCCTCCTCGTTATTCTCTCTCTCCTGCCCTGACTTAACAAATGTGTACTGAGTGCCTACTCTGTGAAAGGGTTTGATAGATTGGGTAACAGAGAGATGAACAGAGGATTAAGAGGTGGTCCTTGCCACCAAAGCAGCTGGCAGTCAGTGGAAGGAGAAGCTGTCTGTGGCGACTCTAGCAGGTGCAGAGGCAAACATGCAGGGGGCTGTGTCTGGCAGTAGCCCGCTCATCACGGCTCCGTGTCAGAACAGTGGTTTTGTGGTGTGTGTTGCTTTTGAATTCCAGCCTGGTGGCACGGCGATGGCAGAGCCCTCCAGGGTGTGGGGCAGGAGCTGGAGCTGGATGGAGGGCTGCCTTGGTTCCTGGCACTTTGCCCAGTGCTGTTTCCCTTCCTGCACACTTAGAGTATTCCTTTAATGCTGGTTCTCTTGTGGTTCTTCTCCCTTCCAAAGACAAGCCAAACGACTGCTGGGACAGATTGTGGACCGCTGTCGCAATGGACCTGGCTTTCATAACGACATAGATGGCAACAGCACAATCCAGGAGATCCTTATTCCTGCATCTAAAGTGGGTCTGGTCATCGGCAAAGGAGGGGAAACAATCAAGCAGTTGCAGGTACGTGAGCCCAAGGGACGCCAGGCCCAGCCACTGCTCTGCTCTCCCCTGCCCTCCCAAGGGCTTGTGTCTTCCTGCCCTGGGCTGCTGGTCATGACCCACTTCCCTGATAGGGCTGGCTGGGTACTCCACAGTGCCAAGGGCTCCCTGCTAGATGTGTGCTGCAGTCAGGCCTGATGCTCGGTGTTGGGCCAGCGAGCTGGAAAAGATCCGGGAACTGTGAGCAACCAGGGCTATAGTCAAGCTGTGTCAGCATCACTTTTGCCATGAAATGACAGCCCCTCGGATAAAAGTGCTGTGTCTGGAGCCAGGCCCACCCTAGTACACCCCTGGTTAGTTCTGTGCTCTTCAACACATTTGTCTCTGGAAGGCTCCGGGCCCTTGTCTATAAGGAGGGCAAGTGCTGTGCTGTGCTGACCTTGCTGTGGTCGTGCAGCTGAAGAGTGCCCATTCTTCTGTTCTTACTCAGGAGTCTATTACCAAGTGGGTGCCCTGAACCAGGGCTCTCTTGCTCTGGAGCCCCTCATCTGCAGATACCTGGGGCCAAACACATTCCAGAACCCAGCATCCCCGGCAAGATGGGGGCTGCAGTTTCAATTACATGCGTATTTTCACAGCTAAACTTATTGGTAGCCACACTAAGAGAAGGACTGGAAATATACTTGCTTAAGTTCAGTTGCCATCACTACCATGTCAGTTATGAATGAATTTTCATTTAAGAGCCTCGGGGCATTTGCTGTGGCCGGTTAGGGTTAGGGATAGATGTGGCTTGCCCCGTGTGCTCTCATGACCCAGGCCTTGGGTTGCAGAAGGCCATGTGGAATCTAGTGTAGGATGTGAGCACGGAGAGAGGACAGAAGACAGTGTTGGCAAGCAGTAGTTTGCTGTGTTGCACTTGGTGTTGTCCAGCATGGCCCATTGTTGCACATTCTGCGGGCCCGTTCAGAAGTCATCGCCTCATGGAAGTGAGACGTGGGCTGCTTGTGGGTGTAACCTGGCCCAGTTCTGCTGCTTGTGGCAACCTGCATCCTTTCCAAGACAGTGAGGGCTGTGCTGGTGTGTGTTCCACCACAGGAGCGGACAGGTGTAAAAATGGTCATGATCCAGGATGGCCCACTGCCCACAGGAGCAGACAAGCCCCTTCGTATCACTGGAGACCCGTTCAAAGTACAGGTAGGAAAGGGACAGTGATTGGGGGTGGGAAGGCTTGGGGGGGGGGCTGTCACTTGGTGGTGGCCTAGAGCTTTTATTCTGCTCAAGTAATTGTAAAGCAGCAGTGCTTCCCTTTATTTAGGGTGAGTGATTTTCCCCAGCAAGCTCGCCAGTGAGCCCAGGGTTGTCAGTGCTTCCCAGAGCTGGAGCCACTGGCTTCATGGAAAACCATTTCCACTGGCCATTTTTCAGTGCTGAGTGGCAATGTAAGTCTGGGACAGCACACACGGCCCATTTCCCTTGGTGCCCCTCAGTGTGGAAGCCCAGACAGGCACTTTCAGCCTTGCTGGCTTTGGTTCAGCTCATTTGTGGGCTTTCTTTGGCCTTTGTTTGCTTGTCCCCTGTCTCAGTCTGTGTGGCCCCTCAGCTGGGGAGGACGAACACAGGTCCTCGAGCTACACGAGCACACGTGTGTTCTCATGGGGACACTCTGTCCCTGAGCTTCTGGGAAGACAGCTCTGCTTGCCAAAATCTTCAGTCCCCTGAGGGGCTCCACCCTCCTAGAAATATGAGTGGGCTGTGGGTGTAGGCTGCGCCTGTCGTCAGTGAAATAACAGCGTTCTTCCTGCCATTGCTATAGGTGAGCAGCTCCAGCAGTTCCTTGGAGCCAGGCCATCCACTGTGGTGGAACGCTTGCTTAGCATATGTGAGACACTGGGTTCGATTCTCAGCACTGCATATAATCAAATAAAAATGAACTTCTATTAACTGAAAAAAAAAAAAAAAAAACAAATTTAAAGGGGGGAGCTGGGGATGTGGCTCAGTGGTTAAGCAACCTGGGTTTAATCCCCAGTATCAAAAAGGGGGGTGGGACTGGACCTTGTCTTTGTGGACCTCTTGCAATCATTTTAAGATTTGATACCTGTTTCCTTATCATGTCCTATAAGTAGCGAGTGAGTGTTCCCACAGCCAAGCACCTTCTGAATCTTTTTTTTTCTTTTTCTTTCTTTCTTTTTTTTTTTTTTTTTTTTTGGCACCTGGGACTGAACTCAGGGGCACTTGACTACTGAGCCACATCCCCAGCCCTATTTTGTATTTTATTTAGAGTCTCACTGAGTTGCTTAGTGCCTTGCCGTTGCAGCTTTGAACTTGTGATCCTTTAGTCTCTGCCTCCCTATCCACAGGGATTACAGGCTTGTGCCACTGCACTCAGCCTTCTGAATCTTGAAGCCCACGTTGGTATGTCCATCTTGAAATTTCACCTGCTTCCATCTTTTTTAGGATTTTTTTATCCCATGATGCCTTTTGTTTGTGTTTCTGCAGCAAGCCAGAGAAATGGTATTGGAGATCATCCGAGAAAAAGACCAAGCTGACTTCCGAGGTGTGCGAGGTGACTTTGGCGCCCGTGTGGGAGGAGGCAGTCTAGAGGTATGCTTGAGTTACAAGTTAGTAGGCGGCTGGGAGTAGGTGCAGTATGTGCTCACACCCCTTAGTTCCCTCACCTTTAGGTGGGTTAGCTTCCATGGCATCTTCCAAACTTTGAGAGTGCACCCCCTGCCCCAGGATTTGAGCACAGCAGGCATGATGGGGCGTCCAGCTGCAGTATAGGTAGTGGCGGTCATTCTCTTAACTTTGAGGTTTGGCTTTAAAGGTTAACTTGCTGCCCAGATAAAGATCAAAGTTCACGTTTTCTCTGTTGTCCGTGTTGTGATTGGGTCTAACCTGGAAGCCCATTTTATTGATGATGTGAAGTGGGAGCAAAACAGTCCTTAAAAATGGAATTTTGAGGGGCTGGGGTTGTGGCTCATTGGTAGAGCACTCGTCTAGCAAGTGCAGGGCCCTGGGTTCAATCCTCAGCACCACATAAAAATAGATAAATAAATGTATTGTGTCCAACTACAACTGAAAAATAGATATTTTTAAAAATTAAATTTTGAATATGGTGAACCTTGTGGGGCACCGTAGCACACCCTGTAAATACCCAGTGACTCAGAAAGCTGAGGCAGGAAGACCGCAAGTTGAAGGCCAACCTGGGCAACTTAGTGAGACCTTCCCCAAAAATAAAATGGTCTAGTGGTGGAGCTAAGTGGTAAAGTAACCCTGGGTTAAATCTCTAGTTCAAAAAGCGGGGGTGGGGAGGTTGACCTTGCAAACAGGACAGTTAGTGCAGAGAGCCAGAACCAGAATATGCCTCCACAAATCACTGAATGGTAAATATTATGTATATTTTGCCTCAAAAAAAATAAAGGACTACTGATATATTCTGTGTGTATAATGTGTTTATACTGCATGGAATTTGGAAGATAAATTGATTAATCTTTTTTCTTGCCTTACTTCATTTATTACTATTTTGATTAAATCTTAGACTTGTCTATTTGTTAAGAACATGGTTGTTAAACAACAATATTGTTCCTAAGAGAAGAAAAAATGGCTTTGTCATATTATTTTCCAAATTGCACTGTAATAAAAATCAAGTCATTTATTTAAAAAAAAAAAAAAAAAGTCTGTTCTTTAAAAAAACGCCAGATTTGGCCAGACATGGTGGTGTACGCTTACAATCCTAGCAACTGGGGAGGCTGGGGCCAGAGGATTACAAGTTTGAGGCCAGCCTGGGCAGTTTAGCAAGACTGTGCCTCGATATAAAAAATAAAAAGGGCTGGGGCTGTAGCTGAGTGGTAGAGCACCCCGGTTCAATCCCCAATACCAAGCAAAGCCAGATTTTAAAAAGCTCTGATGATGTTTTGTTTCTCTGTGACTAGGTATCTGTCCCTAGGTTTGCTGTTGGAATTGTAATAGGAAGAAATGGGGAAATGATCAAAAAGATCCAGAATGATGCTGGTGTAAGGATTCAGTTTAAACCAGGTTGGTATTGATGAGTCTCAAAAATCCTTAGTGTTAAAACAACTCACAAACACAGAAGTGAAAAATTCTGCTCCAGTTGTGTACAAGGTTGAAGAGCTTTCTACTGTCATGTATAACTGATTAGAGATAATACATAAAAAAAATATATTTTTTTGAAAATAAATAAACATCTCAGGAAACAGGGTCTTGTTACTAACTCATGAGTATGTTCTCTTTCTTTTTCTTCCTCACAACATTCTGTTACCAAAATTGGCAATCCAAGTTTCTTCTTCTGGGCCTCATCTCCTCCTGAGCCACAGTGATTAGACCAAAGGTCTCCAGTCCCCCCACTTTTTTTTTTTTTTTAAAGTAGACCATCTGACCGAGTGCAGTGGCATGCCTGTAATCCCAGCGGCTGAGGGAGACCGAGGCAGGAGGATCTTGGGTTCAAAGCCAGTCTCAGCAATGGGGAGGCACTAAGCAACTCAATGAGACCCTGTCCCTAAGTAAAATATAAAATAGGGCTAGGGGTGTGGCTCAGTGGTCAAGTGCCCCTGAGTTCAATCCCCAATACCAAAAAATAAATAAATAAATAAAAATCCAAAAATTGATTAATAGGATAATTCTTTACATTTTATAAATTTACCTTTGTGAGCAAAAAAAAAAAAATTATACATTGTCTGTATTTTCCTCATTTCTCTGAAGAGAAAAGCTTCCTGGTTAGCTGGCTTGAGGGAATCACTGCCTTAACTTCATTGTTTTTCCTTGCCTTCCCCACCTGGCCAGGTTTGTTTTGTTTCTCTAATGACATCTTTTTAAAAAATAGCTGTATTCACATAAGAATTGAGTATTGACCTGAAACACGTAAAAAGATCTAATCATACATATTTTCCTATCAACCAAATCAGTCCAAAGGAATCCCTGAAGCTGGTGACAGTCTGGTTGCCTTTTTAGCTCATTGTCCTTTGATTGTGGAAGGATATGGTGGCACATGCCTATAATCCAGAGACTTGGAGGCTGACGCAGGAGGATCACAAGTTCTAGGCCACTTAGCAAGGTCCTAAGCAACTTAGTGAGACCTGGTCTCAAAATAAAAACCAAAAAGGACTGGAGATGTAGCTTGGTAAGGTAGCACCTCTGGGTTTGATCCTAGTCCAAAAAGAAAAAAAAAGAATATTGATTGTGACTTGTATCGGCCTTCGTTTCCTTGTGACTTTGTGCTTTTACTGATCCCACTTCACCTGGTCCTACAGATGATGGGATTAGTCCTGAGAGAGCTGCCCAGGTCATGGGCCCTCCAGATAGGTGTCAGCATGCTGCTCACATCATCAACGAGCTGATCCTTACGGCGCAGGTAGGTCCCCTTCCCTGGAGTTCAGAGACCTCACACACAGAAGGAGAAGGTGTGCCATGGGCAGCCACCCTCAGTCTCCTGATTGGAGACCAGTGATGTTTCTGCATCTACCCCTTTCCTGCCAGTGTATTTTTTTTTTCTTGCTAGTTTATTACCTGCTTCAACTTTTATTACTCAGAACCTAGATTTTCTTTATATAGTAAATTCCTGGCTCTTTAAACTACGTGGGGAAATACTAAGCAGTTTGCCAAGTTTCCAGCAAGCAAGTACATTTAGTGTGAAAATGTATTAAGGGAAGTCTCTTGAGTTTAAAAGCACTTCGGGGTCCTCCTGAGTCCTGACAGTGTCTTCATGTGCTCAATTTCACACCTGTGTCTTGTACTGTGAGTGAACTCACGTGATCTCTTGAGCTTCAGAGATTCCCCTACCCCATGTGGTGACCTGAATTTTCAAACCGCTGTAATGGTGATAGATTGGCACATTCTCTGAGTATGAGGACTGAGGGAAACTTTGAGAATGAGTAGAGCCAAAGAAAAAAGCAACAGGTTGGAAATCATATTGCCAGCTCTGCCCCCAGCCAAGTCCTTGAAGCCCTCTGTGCCTCCTTTTCTCAGCAGTAGACTGAGGGCGTTTCACCAGGAGGTGATCCCTGGAGCTACCCAGGGGTACTTCTAAGTTACAGGCGTATAGGCCCCACTGTCTTCTGTATCAGAATATCCAGGGGAGGGGCTTGGGTTTTAACCAGAGCCCTGGCAGTTCTTACGATTCATTGAGTTTCAAAAGCAGCCACTGAATGTTCTCTGACATCCCTTTCTATAAATTTAAGTTTGTGGATTTAGGGTTGCAGAAACTGAGATGTTTACAAGAGAGCCTTGTCTTCTGGATCTGGTCCACCCAGAAAGTTGGCTATATATGTGTGCGTGTGTGAGAGACAGAGAGTTTTAACATAAATTCCTCAGATTACCTTGTTTACTTGTCAGTTGTCTTTTCTAAAAGCAGAGTGCAGGGAAGCGCGCTCCAGTTAGCTCGACTCTGCTGGTGTGTATTCGGGGTAAATGTGTGCAGTTTAGTTGTGATTGACATGGGCAGGTTTTGCCCAACAGTCTCCACTCTTGTTGAATGACTCTTGGGCTTCTTTGCCTGGGGGAACTTGTAGCTTGACCAGGTTCACCTTCCATATGAAGATGGCAGGCCCTCCAGTCCCAGGTGGGGCAGGACCTCAGCTAGAGGAGACTGAGGCTTTGCGTTCTGTTGGGCAGGCCGTGTGAGTGTGGCAGAGATCTCTCTGGCCCAGATGTGGGCAGCCAAGTGGGCCTGACTGACTCCCTCCACCTCTCCCTCCTGAAGCAGCCCTGAACACTCACTCTTGAGCATATTTTTGCTCTTTCCTGGGAGCAGGAAAACGAATGTTTCTTAAATTCTTTTATCCCTTTGGCTGAGTGGAGCAAGGGTTTCCACCCAGACGGCAGTCATGGAATTGTACCTTGTAGCAGCCTGGTGGGGGGGGCGGGGGGGCGTCAAGAGTCATTCTTGGCCATTGTGTCACTTTCAAATGCCCAGAGCTCTTTAGCATGTGCTATCTGGCTTGTATAGGCACAGCATGTGTCAGCCAGGAAAGAGCAGCCTCGGCTTCGAGGAGAAATTCAAGTGTGAGACCTGTGGGTCAGGGCCCGCTCCATAATTAAAACTCCACGGAGAAGGCCCCTTGGCTTCGGATGAGGAGTTTATGCCTGGCAGCCTGTTTCAGTTGGGTGTCTCTCTGCCATTTATGTAACTACACGTTTATCTGCACGTCTTCCTCGAGTATACCTGTGATTGGTGGTGATTCTGGTTGAAAGTGGGCTTCACGTCTGAAGTCTGGAAAGGTGCTAGGTTCTAATTTGTGGCGTTGATTACATCCTGTCACTTAACCTCCTTCCCAGAGAAGGCGGAGAGTGGTTTTGTGATGGTGGCAGAAATCATCACTTTGTCCTTGTTTTCTTCCCAGGAGAGGGATGGCTTCGGAGGCCTGGCAGTAGCAAGAGGAAGGGGCAGGGGCCGTGGCGACTGGAGCATGGGAACTCCTGGTGGCATCCAGGAGATAACATATACCGTGCCAGCAGATAAGTGTGGCCTCGTCATAGGCAAAGGTAAGAAGCAGCCTCTGCAGTTTCCATCCCATTTCCACCACTGCTGTCCTGGAGGGGTGGGAAGTCACACAGGCCTATAGGGCCACAGCGGAAGCCACTTGCTACATCCAGCCCAGTGGCCAGGTCTGTGGCCTCAGCTGCCTTCGGTCAGAACTCTGCTTTTCAGGGGTCTTCTCCAGGGCCCCCAATTTGGTCTGTCATGGTGGGGCAGAGCAGACTGTGAGCAACAGGAGACCACAGGAGCCACTGCTGTTGGAGCAGCGCTTATGGGTAGGGAGGGCCTTGCGGTGGGCTTCCCACCAAGGAAGGCTTGAGTAGGTCAGCTTCCACCCTTGGCCAATGCCACTTGCAGACTTGCATGCCGCCATTTTCCCAGTCCGTCCAGTTTGGGTATTTGTTCTTCATTAACATAGTAAGATGATGGCTCCTGTTCTTTCAACGGCACATTTACTAGGAGAAACAGTCACCCTTTGGAGGGAAATGAAAACTGCTTTGTTAGTAGTTTCAGGCAGCTCAGGGAGTGTTGGGAGGAGCCTGGTCGGTGGCTATCACAGCTCCTTCCTGTTGTTGAGAGGCAGCAGGCGGATTCTAGGCCAGCCACGTTGGTTCCTCTCAGCTCATCCCATGACTGAGCCCTTCTCCCGCGGCAGTGCTGGGGTGACCTCCTAGGAGCAGTAAGCCAAGCCTCCATGCTGGCAGGGACTTGTTTGGTGTTGGGCTTTGTGTTTACCTTCGCTGTTCATCCAGCAAGCGTGGCAGGGTGGGGGGTAGGCAACCTTCTCCCCAGAGTTCCTCAGTTCTTTGATCACTAGAATTGCTCATGTTGAAGGAAATGAGACTTGGTATATTGTCTCTACCAATAGACCTGAGGCGCCGCCAGGGTGTCCTCAGGGCTGGGGAGAGTTGCTTCTTGGCCCCTGAGACCTGGCGCTTGTCCCTGCTTCTGGACAGAGTGATGTTTTATGCTCTTTCAGAATGTTTGTGTTCTGTTTCCACATCGTCTTTGAGATTACTGGCCACTCAGGGGCAGTAGGAACAATGTGGGTTTGTTTTGATTTCCTGGCACATGCTGCTAGCTGCCGAGTGCTGCTCAGACTGCTGCAGTGAGCCACACGCGGCTGCTTGGTGCCTCTAGGTGGAGGATCAGAGTTAGGTGTCTCGGCCTTTTGAAAACCATTTTGTCAGTGAGATTTTCACTTGACTGTGTCTCTGGTGGAGCCTCGGAGCCTCACTGCCTTCTCTCCTCCCAGTGAGCCCTTGGTGCCTCCAGAACAGCCTTTTGTGCATGTTCTCCAGCTGAGTGCTTCCTGGAAGACAAGGACGGCACCGCCAGGTCCCCGTGCTCAGACAGCATGCTCGGCAAGTCCAGCGAGTTGTGTTGGGCCTGGGGAAGGTCATCTTGTTCACCTCCCTGTGACAGGGTGATGCCTTTCCTTCTCTTGGAAAAGAGGTGTGGGTGAGGAAAAGGGAGAAGTCGCCGCAGGCAGCCAGGCCTGCTCTCCTGGTTCTGGCCCTTGGACAGACACGGAGCCTCCCGGGGCCCCTGCTGGATTTCCATGATAAACACAGCAACATTGACAGATAGCGTGGCCAGCCCTGCTCTTGTCAGCCAGGCCTTTTAGCAGGTTTGATTAATTGCTTTACAATTTCACGTCCAGCCGGGGGCCACTGGTGGGTCCTTCTGCCCCCCATCAGGTGGAAGAATGGAGCAGGCTGCTGAATGAGTCGATAGACAGCCACCATGTGCCAAGCTGGTGACCTCATTATGAAGGAAGATGAACTTAAATGAACTCCTTCCTGCCTGCTCAGCCTGCGGGCGCCTCCTCGCCTTATTAGCATGCTCCCGAGCTCCAGGCAGGAGGTCTGGCCCGCACTGAGGCGAGGCGAGGGCTGGGGTTTGCCTCTGGGGCCTGCAGATCCTCATTCTCAGAGGTTCGTCCTGTAGTCCGGTTGCCCGCAGACCAGGTGACACCCCTCCAAATTCTGGGGGTGCCTGTTGAAATGGCCGGTTTTTTCCTCTGCTCTTCATTGCTCCCCAGAACACTGTTGCCTCGAGTGAAGCTAGGCAACAGCTGTCTTTTTTCCTGGGGCAAAGACAGCAGACTCATGACAGCTGAGTAAAGGGCTCAAGAGCATACCTGTCTGGAGGGAGAGCAGAGCTTTCAGCGCTGGCCTGGGGTGTTCCCAAGTCACATAGGGAACACCCAGGCCAGGCGGGAAACAGACACTTCTCTGAACCTCTCACAGTACTTTATAGTTAAGAAGGCCACAAACACAAGGCAGTTTGGTTGATTTTTTTTTTTTTTAATTTGCTTTCAACTTTAAAAAGGCCCTAAACTAAGCCAGTATGCTACCCACGTGGGCGCTGGCTGACGCTTTGCCCTGTGTCTCTGCCCGCACGCTGCAGAAGCCTGCCATACTGCCTCTAGGAGGGATATGTCTTAGCGTGCTGTCGTCCTCTCAGAGTGAACCAAGGCCAGCCTGTCACTGCTCTGTCATCTCTGCCAGCCCTGTCTGCTTGCTGGGCATCTGCCGGTTGTGGGGTCTGTCAGTGAAGTGACACACTCACTTTCAGTTGGTTTTGACTGTGGAGGGCACACTGGTCCTCTGCCGTTGCTTTTTTTTTTTTTTAATTATCATTATTTATTTATTTATGTAGTTGTAGATGGACAGTATGCCTTTATTTTATTTGTTTACTGTTAGGTGGTGCTGAGGATCGAACCCAGTGCCTCACATGTGCTGGGCAAGCACTCTGCCTTTGCTTTCGAGCATTTGGGGCATCCTGCTCCCTGTACCAGATTTTCAGCATTTATCTTTTTCTAATTTCACCAAACTGAGTGTGCTGACTTTTCCTTGGTCTGGCTCTGCCTGCCCACTCCCCATCCCAGCTGAGATCTGTAAGTGCTGAGATTTCAGTAGAAGAATCGGCCATTGTTCTGCTGATGAAGCTTTTGTCACACAAATTTCATTAAGAGACTGGGACTCCAGGTTTTTCAGAGTCTGACTAGATTTTTATTAGCCCGACTCCACTCAGATCCCTGTGGCTCCCCCTTCTTTGGACTGCCTCTCCGTCTAGACAACAACACCCCCCCCCACCACACACACACACACACAACACACACACACACACACACACACACCTGCAGCAGGGACCAGAGAAGGGACTAGATGGGATATTGAAGGCCCAAGTGGACTCCAGGCGTTGTTGGGCATGTAGCCGGCCTGTGGAGGGAGGGGAAGCGATGCAGCAGCCCACACCCAGGCTGAAGGCCCCCATTGTGTAGGGCAGGGCCATCAGGTCACTATTCTTGCCCCAAGAAGCATCCTGTGCTTTCCCTGGGCAGACGGCCATGGCTGGGTTGAAGAGCCACAGCTGCCTCCGTTGAACTCTGGGCATGCACATCCGTGGGCCTCAGGCTCCAGCCTGGCTCTGAGGAAAATCCCTATGCAAAGGGGATAGCCCTGGATTTTGGTTAGAGCCACTTTTCAGTGAGTGGAAAACTTCTCCCTTTGTGGACAAGTGCCCTTTCAGCCTCTCCTGAGCAGAGGCCCTCACCTTCTCTGTCTCCTGCCTGCAGGGGGCGAGAACATCAAAAGCATCAACCAGCAGTCAGGAGCCCACGTGGAGCTTCAGCGCAATCCCCCTCCCAACACCGACCCCAGCCTGCGGATATTTACCATCAGGGGTGTTCCTCAGCAGATCGAGGTGGCCAGACATCTCATAGATGAGAAAGTTGGTGTACGTACACGGTCCCTTCCCCACCTGGCTTAATACTAGCTGGATTTTTCTCTTGGATGTCCAAGGTACCTGCATCCCCCAGAACCTCGTTCTTGGGTGCCTTCCCATCCTCACATCCAGGGGGGCGCCCCTCCTATTTGGCTGAAGGGAAGGTCGGAGGCCCAGGGAATGACAGGGCCAGACCCGCAAGCAATGAAGGAAGCCTCTGGCAGGACACGCCAAGGCTGCAGCAGCTCAGTCCCCAGAGCATGTCCCCTTCAAGCTTAGATGAGTAGCCGGGCAGCAGCCTTCCCCCAGCACTGTCCCTGGGCTCCCGTGGACATGCCCTGGCCGCCAGCCCTGCAGGCAGCTTTCATTGACTCTGGCTTTAGTTTCAGGCACCTCAAAGCAGATAAAGAAAGGGAGTGTTGATGGAGGACAGATGGGCCACTGCTCACCTCAATGGGGACGTAGAATGGCAGAAAGAGCCCTGGGCCAGCCTAAATTGACGGGAGAGTCAAGCAGGTTGGTCCTTCCCCAGGGTGACATGCCAGGGCAATCATGGTGGTGCCAGGATTGGCTGTGTGGTGGTGCTGTCACTCAAGAGCAGTGCCATTTCTGCAGCTCAGTCTGCTGTGGGAAGGAAGGCTAGTGCGAGTGCAGACTGTCTCCCTCACTTGACTTGTCTCCCCAGAAGGGGCTTTGCCTCGGGTGACCTGGGTGGAGGGCTAGGTGCCCCCAGCAGGAGTGAGAGCTCCTCTATGCCCACACAGGGTACCAGCCTTGGAGCCCCCGGAGCCTTTGGACAGAGCCCCTTCAACCAGCCGCCTGCTGCCCCGCATCAAAAGTGAGTGTTCTGCCTCTGTTGTGCCCAGAGGACCTCATCACTCCTGAGATCGTCCCAGCTGCTTCTCCAGACTGCTGCTGGAGCTCTGGGTGTGGGCAGGACCATCTGTCTTCATCCCACCAGTGGTCCTTCAGACCTGTCTGTAGCTCCCTGACCTGTGGTATTCAGGCTGGAGCACCTCAGAGACAGGCACCTCCCAGTCCCCCGCAATGTCTGGGAAGCACAGCTCCGGGGCAGGGGGGAATTGCAGAGCCTTCATCACAGGGGTTCAACTGGTTCTGCTTGCTCTTCCTCTTTTCACAGCACCTTTCCTCCAAGGGGCTCAGGGTGCTTCCCCAACATCGCTGCTAAAGTGAACGGAAACCCCCACAGTACCCCTGTGAGGTAGGTGACCCACTTGCCCCACCTGGGGGTGGATGGGGCTAGAGTCGTCACTGGGCCACTGCCAACAGGCTTGGGGGCAGGGAGGGGCTATGCTTGGTTAGGGGTGAGCTAAGCAGAAAAGAGGTAGATGTTGGGGGATGGGGGGTGTGTGACCCATACTGTCATGAGTGACTCTTCTGTTGTCCACAGTGGCCCTCCAGCCTTTCTGACCCAGGGCTGGGGCAGCACCTACCAGGCATGGCAGCAGCCCACACAGCAGGTCCCAAGTAAGTGACTTGGGAGGTGGTGGTGTGCGCTCCCACTTGCTGGCCAGGTTGGCCAAGGACTGATGGACCTAAGAGACTCTTGTTATACTTTTGGCCAACAAGCCCAGGACGCAACTCTCCACAAATGTTGGGGAACATAGCAGGCCCTGCACCAAGAAGCACATATGCTTGGTGGGGGCTTCCACAGAAACAGCACCAGCCTCTAGCTGAGGCAGGGACATAGGGCTGGCTCCCCATGGCTACCTGTCCATGGAGTGGGTCGGGGCAGAATTGTCACTTATTCTCCACAGATAGGTGGGCTGTGGGTGCAGTTTAACCTGAGCCTCCTCTGCTGCTCCTCTCTCTGTACTCCCTGGGGATCCTCCTCCTGGCCCAAAGCTCCACCTTGCCACACCCTGCTCTCCCAAGCAGTCCCCTGCTTCTTGGTGACCCTTCCTACTCTTTAGCCTCGTGGGGACATTCTCCCTCTCTTCTTAGGAAGGCGTTCTTTCTGTTGCCTGAGCTTTTCAGAAAGCAAACAAATATGGAATTAGGTCTACTGAGTGGCACCTCCCTGGGAAAACTGGGTGTCAAGAGAAAGTGCCCATGAGGGGCTGCAGTTGTGGCTCAGTGGTTGAGCGCTTGTCTTGCATGTGTAAGGCACTGAGTTCGATCCTTAGCACCACATATAAATAAATAGATAGATAGATAATTAGATAAATAAATAAATAATATTGTGTCCATCTATAACTAAAAAAAAAAATTAAAAAAAGAGAGAGAGAGAGAGAGAAAGTGCCCATGTGGACAGAGCCCCTCCCAACTCTGGACCCCTCACCAATTCCAGGAGTCAGGCTAGGGTTTACTGCTGGGCTGGTCCCTCTTGCTCAGCCTGCACAAAACAAGAGTCCCTTACCTTGGCCAGTAGAATTCAGGCTTCTACCTACCTGAAGTTCCCGTCTTTCTGGAAAGCCTGTTCAGGCTGCAGTTGCTCCTCATGACAGATCAGGCTGCAGGATGGCCTGTCAACCTTGCTCAGGGACATGGCCCCTTTTCCCTGGAGCAGAGCCTAGAGGCCCATACTCTGTCATCAGAAATACCCTCCCCTGGGTCGGGGGAGGCTCTACTTCAGGCATCCATAAAGTGATGGGTCCAGGTAGATTTCTTAAGTATTTGCAAGCTCCGGGCCTGTATGGCTGGATTGTTTCCCCCTCCTCCCACCTGTATTTTATTACTCAGTGTTTCAGACTTCAACAGGAACTTCACTGTGAATTTTGCTGGCCACCTGGCAGAGAAGGTGTCCTCACAGTGCAGGGTCATTGCATGATGCTCTGGTCTGCAGAGTGATGGGGTTGCATTCACATTGGCCCCATTGTGCCCAGACAGAAGACCTGGGAGAAGCCTGAGGCATGGGTACACTGAGCCCTGAGAGGGCAGCTCTCCTCCCCTGGGAAGCTGCCCTGGGTTTGTGGCTCTGCAGAGGCCGTGAGGCAGGCCAGGAGAGAGATGAGCAGAAGGCATACCAGGAGAGCAAGCCTCTGTGCTATGTTAGCAGCAGAGACACTCAGTGTGGGTTCAGTGTGTCCTCTTCCCCACGTTCAGTCTCAGGGAACTAACGGGGAGCCAGCCTTCTGCACGGGGGGTGATCAGGAGCGCGTCCCCCTGCCGCCTGCATACCAGCTCTGACAGAAGAAAAGGTGTTGAAGGGGGTCTGTGTGCCCGCGCAGGCGGACGCTCGAGCAGCCTGGCCTCATCAGAAAGCAGCTCCCGCTTCACACTGTGGTCAGGGATTTTAGCCACTTCATAGACCCCTGGGCTGGGTGCTGCTGCTTTGTCCTCTGTCACTGAGTCTCTCTGTTGCTGGCATAGCATAGAGGAAACACCAAGGACAGCATAGAACCGCCTCCACATGTCCTCTGTCCCTCTCTTCCCACCCAAGAAAGGCTGAGGCAGATCACATTCCTGTGGCCCTGCATGCTCACCCAGAGGTCATCTGTCATTGGACAGAAGGGCCAGGTAAACCCCTTGTCCATGGAAGACAGGTCCGGGGGCCTGGGATTGCCATCGCTCTGGCTCCCAGAGCTCTCCACTCCCCCAGCTCAGCTCCATCTACAGAGAGCAGGGCCTTGTCATGCTTGTCGCCAGCCCCTGCCTCACACCGGCGGCCGTTTTCAGCCCTCCTGCCTGTGGCGCCTTCCTCCCAGGCTGGGGCCCTGACTGCCCTTTGTTCCTCGTGTAGACCAGCAGAGCCAGCCGCAGAGCAGCCAGCCTGACTACAGCAAGGCCTGGGAAGACTACTACAAGAAGCAGAGTAAGTGCCGCGGCTTCGGGCACAGGCCCACCCCGCGGCCTCAGCCCAGCTGCTCCTGGGCCTGTCGTCTGTGCTTTGTCACCTTCCCCACAGCTGGACCTCAGTACCCGCACCTTGTCACCCACTGCCTGTTGGACCTGGCTGGGTCCCTGTGGAGCTGAAAGGCTCCTATTAGTGCTGCCTCCCACCCAGGCATCCTGTTCTGTGTGTCTCACTGATGCCCATTTTTGGCATTTCAGGATAGCTAAAGAGAAGAGAAATGGTGGAATTCAGGGAAGGGACCCTAAGCTGGACTAGGTGCCCGGTTGTTTTCTTGCTGTATAAGTCTTTTTTCTTACCTGTACCAGAAACTAAACTAGTCTTCAGAAGAGGGGGAGGGCGGCTGGGGCTGGAGCTCAGTGGGTACTGCGCTTGCCTAGCACAGTGAGGCACTGGGCTCAATCCCTAGCATCATATAAAAAATAAATAAGTAAAGGTATTGTGTCCATCTACAACTAAATTTTTTTTTAATATTTATTTTTTAGTTGTAGTCGGACATAATATTTTATTTATGTGGTGCTGAGGATCGAACCCAGGGCCTAGCATGTGCTAGGCGAACACTTTACCACTGAACCACAACCCAGCCCCCCAAAATATTTTTTTTTTTTAATTAAATTAAAGGGGGAGGGAGTACATAGCAGCAAAAGCCCTGGTTCAGGACTTCACATCAGCACCAAGCCCGAGCGCATTTCCCGACTCCCTGACCAGAGCATGGGGTATGGCCTGCAGGGCTTTTCTGTGACTGGCATCTTCAGGGTGGAACTTGCTGGCTGACCCAACTTGGGTCAGAGGCTGTCAAATACCTGTTTTGGGAACCCTAGCGGCCATATTGTCACCGGGTCCATACCCCTTCTGGGGCCAGGGTGGGGGTGCCAAGGTGACCCTCATCAGCAGGGGACCTGCTAGCAGTTCTGGTGCCCTTTCTTCCATGACCTGAACCCACCCTAGACGCATGGGTTATGTACGTCAAGCTGTGAGGGATTCGGATGTTCCCTGCAGAAATCACGCCAGGCTTTCCATCCACCCCCAGTCCCCGCAGCCACTCTTTCTGCCTTTGGCATTAGGAGCTGCTGAGAGGCAGGCGTACGCAGGGCTTTGCTTCTGTAGAGCAGTTGGCTGTCTTCTCCTGGGGTGTGGGACCCAGCAATAGAAGACTACTTCGCCCAGCCTCCCCGTGCCCTCCAGAAGGGAGAGCAGGTGCCTGGGCCCCAGGGAAGGGACCTGCCCCCAACGCTCCCATTCCCCTAACCCGTTTTTCCTCCCTTGTCACCCAGGTCACGCTGCCAGCGCTGCTCCTCAGGCCAGCTCCCCACCAGACTACACAATGGCCTGGGCGGAGTATTACAGACAGCAGGTCGCTTTCTATGGGCAGACGTTAGGGCAGGCTCAGGCCCACAGCCAGGTCTGTAGATGGTCCCCAATGCTGTGACACTTCCCACACCTCCCTGACCCCTGTCTCCCACTCCTCAATGTTTGTCTGATGTCAGGGCGAGTGCAGTAGACTGTGGGGGAGCAGTCCCCTTGGCCCAGGGACCTCCTGAGAACACAGCAACCGCCATGCCAGCCTGCCTCTGGCCCTGTGTGGGCTCCTCAGGCAGGCACAGTGCCAGCTCCCGCCTTTATGCCCAGGAGCCTGGAGGGCTCTGCCTAGTCAGGGCCAAGACGGATTTCTCCTTAAAGTGGGGAAGAGGGCCAGGTGCTCCCACGGGGCATATTTCAGGTCACCTGATGTCAGTCAGGTCCCATGGACAGTGTGCCGGCTCCTCCAGCCGTGGCATCCCACTGCCCAGTTGGCTGTGTCTTGGAGAAAGCAGGTGTCAGGGCTGGTAGTGGCCCAGGAAGAGTAGCACTCTTCTGCATCCTGCCCAATGTCCCCAGCAGAAGAGAAGCTCCAGACCTCCCCCCAAAGAGGTTTCTCGGGTTTGCATTGGTGCATGGGCACCTGTCGCCTGCTGCTGACTCGGGACTGGAGAAGCTGCCATGGGCCTGACACCTCCTCTCCTTCCTCCCACAGGAGCAGTAGAGCCGAGTCACACAGCTGGCCCTTCCCCTCGAAATCAGTGTGAAAGAAAACCTGTTTGTAACAGAGGTTTTTAGATTTGCAGACTTTTGATGAAGAACCTTTGTTCTGTGAAACACTATATTTAGATTAACAGAATTTTTCTAAAAATCGGGAAAATTAGTTACTAAAAATTGCTGATAATTTTTGTTTCATTATTCTTGTTTGTTATTTCAAATGTGTAAGCTCTGGGATTCTTTTTGGAGCAATACCTGCAAATTCAGGTGCCAGAATGTGCCTCGGAGCAGTGACATTTCAACATGATATTGTTTTGTTTGTTGTTTTGTTTTCGTGTCTTTTTATTTACAGTTTTTTCTGTTGCAACAGAAAGTGGCTTGGAAGTCTTGGGTGGTATGTAACAAATTCTTTTAAAAAAATTTTTAAACAGTATTTAAATATTCTTAAATGTGTAAATTCATTAAATGTTTTACTTCTAATTTCTTGTATTTTGGCTGTCTGGTTTTATTGCATTTTTTAAAAAACTGAACTATTATGTATTGTAATTAATTATGTGAATTCTGAAATGAGACAGATAATTGTATTGCTGTCCAACAGGGTTTGGGAGGGGCATTTTGTAGGGTTTGTATAATTCCTAGAGTTCTAAAGGGTAATATAAAAGTGTGTTTGTGTGTTAGCATACATTTTTTTTCGTGTCTCCATTACTGGTTGCAATTGTGTATCTAAGACCTCCAAGCTGGTTTTAAAAAACAAAACAAAAAACCTTTCTCTATTCTTTCAGAAATATAAATACTGTTATTTTTAATATTAAAAAGAAATTCAATATAACTTTTAACAAACACTGTGGAACATTAAACCGTATAAAAATGTAGTAACTATTTTTTAATTCCAAGGTGTTTTTTTGCTTTTTTCTTTTAAATATTTTCTTAATATTTGTCAAATTAACTAGATGAATAAGTAAATCTAGTATTAACCACAGTATGAATTAAATAATTTTGATTTAATAAAAGGGATAATATGATTTCCAATGTTTACTGTAGTGTATCTTGTACAGATAACATGTATTTTTAAAGGAAAAAAATACGGAATTAAAGCTATTTTTTCTCGCATTTTTAATTGACCTAAGGGACATTCCGTTTGAAATATACTGACGTTACAGTTTCTGGGGTTTTCTCCTTGTTTTCCTTAAATGCTTGAAATGTCTAACTATTAAAAAAGGCAATTGGAAAATGTTATGCATGTTGTTTAAAAAGGTGTTCTTTGTATTTGACTGACAATTCATTTTACACTCTATATAATAAAATTTCCACAAGACATCTTGTGGGTGGAGTATTTTTAGTCTGCTTGCTCCCTGCTCATTCCTCCCTCTGCCCCTGCCCGCTGCTACTGACATGGAAAGAAGGTTCTTGCAGATCTTGCTGGTCGTCATCTAGCTCTGCAGCAGCCCGACTGCGTTGGTGCACAGCCTAGACGTCTAGCTTATTTTCTTTTAATGGCTTTGTGTGATACAATGGTCCAACTTGAGAGCCTTGGTTTAGGCCAGCCCACTTTCCTGTGACATCTAAGCATCTTAATGGCATGACGCCCAGAAGTCATAAGTGGAGTTCCCTGGAGCAGAGGCACCTTGTCCTGAGTAGAACTGGAAAGTTCGTTGAGGGAAGGAGCCAGATCAGCATGCTGTCCTACGAGAGAGGCAGTGCCCCTCCTTTTTCACCCCTCCAGCCCTCACCCCACCCTGACACTCCCTGGAAGCCCAGGGCCATGTCTCTGGCTGTTGCTGCCACCTCTCTCCTGTCCCCAGCACTCACCTGCAGCTCTGTGGGTCTGGGGAGAGCTGGGAAGGGCCAGCAGATGTGCTGGTTTGTTCTGTTGTTCTCATTAAGAAAACAAAAAGGCCCGTGTCCTCACCCAGGGGGTTAAACCACAAGGGTCCTGCGGGCTGGACCTTGGGTGTAGTGGAGTTGAGGTGGGCTTGGGGTTCTCGCTTTCCGTGCTTCCTGCTGACAGGCTGAGCCCAGTTGTCTGGAGCGTGAGTCACTCTGCCTCAGCCTTCAGCTTTTACGCCAAGCCCCATCTGGGTTTAGATCCCAGGCCTGTTCAGAAGCCCCCTATGGCTCATGTGCATATGTGTGTGTGTGTGTGTGTGTCCAGTTCCTGTCCCTTGTCTCCAACCGACACTAAGAGGAAGATGAAGACACATCTGTGGTTCCTTTAGCCCAAAAGGGGGTGGAGAGCGGCCCATCTGGGCCATGTTGAGGCCTGTTGAGAGCCGGAAGACAAAAAGGAGATGTGGCATCTTTAACTACACCTCTAGAGAATCGAGTTTGACGTTGAGAAATTGAATAGTAAAAGCCACTTGGAGAGGGGGAGGGCCGAGGGAAAGGGTATAAACGCTGATGGCGGTAATGGGAATGGGAGAGGGCATTACAGACAGGACTTCCTTCTAATTCATCTTCCAAGCTCTGTGCCAAAACAGCATTTGGCATGGTTCACAGGGAGCGATTGTGTGATAATGAACCCTAAGGTGTCCCTTAATTGAAGACTGAGCATTGCGGTTTGTGCCAAGAGTCGTAAATGGTGCAGGCTTGCGGGAGGATGCATTTTCTTAAATGTATCGGTAAGTACAGATTAGCGCTTGTCCCCAGTGAAATGCCCATACTATAAATTATGGAAATCTCTCTCCCTTTCTCTCTGATGCAATCTTTTATTGGGGGGAGGGGGAGGTACAGCAGGAGGCAAGGGGGAAAGTTTGCAAGCGTATGAAATTTGGTCTCTCATTAACATGGCGCCCACCCGCAGAAGATGGTTTTCATCAGCAGTCTGCTGTCCTGGAAGGCTAAAGTGCTTGAAATGTACCAAGTTCAGCGATTGTGTTCCATTAAGAAAGCTGCATGGTCATCACTGAAAGGGCAGCCTGCGTTTGGGGCAGCAGGGGCGGGGCGGGCGGGTGCCCAGTCTGTCTTCAGAAGGCTGGCCCCACCCCCGCCCTCCACCTCACATGCACTTGGTCTCTACCAGGCGCCAAGTTCAGCATGCACTGAGGGCCCTGCTGAGCTGACCCCAGCCCACCCAGAAGCTGGGGGTGGGGAGCTCTGGCTAACCAACATGCCTCCATCAACACCCGTGGCCTCTCATCTGGTAGGAGGCACTGTCTTGACAGTGTCCTTCACAACTGGTGACCATCTGAGATGTTCTGTAACCCCCACAGCAGGATTGACCAGGGACACAGATGATTGCCATGCCAGACCCAAGAAGGCGTTGGATACCCTGGAGCCCCAGCTTCCAGCTAGCTAGGGCCCCACTCTTTTCCAAGCCCCACTCGTGGTCCACTGGGGCCCAGCTGGGGTCTTTGAAGATGGGCTAATGCAAATGGTCCTGATAGACTCTTAGAGATTAATGGCCCGAAAGTGGCTTGGCAATTCCGCAGGGGTCTGCTGGCCCTGGGTCCACATCTTGTGTGCGGAGAAGAGGAAGTAAAGACAGCCCTCAACATGCTTGAAACAACAGTCACCTTCGCTGTGCTTTGTCTCCAGGGCCTCGCTCTAACAGCTCCAAGGGAGTCCTGGCCCTTTCCAGGCATCTGCTTTGATGGTGGATCTGCACCTGGAGAGCTAGACAGGACTGTTCTCCCCATTTCACAGATGAGGGCTTAAGAGTCCAGAGGCTCAGGGACCCGCCCTATTCACTCGAGCTTGGGGGTGGTGGCAGTTCTGTGCTGAAGCCCATCCACACTTCTTCTGGGGCCTCGGTGGGGAGCATGGCTGCACCAACAGCAGCTCACAGCCTCTTGCAGTTGCCACCAAGTGAGGCAGTTGCTGTGAGGGGGAGCCGTCCTAGAGGGGATGAACAGCAGCCCTGGGCTGGGCCCTGGAAATGTGTAACAGTTATTTTCAGTTGCACATTTGCAAACTCACCTACTCACTAAAACTTTTCTCCACGTGTTTTAATTGGTGCAGTGCAGTTGTGCACAATGGTAGGATTTGTTGTTCAATGTCCGTGCATGCACACAGTGTAAAATTTAACCTGGCCAGTATCACTCCTCATACTTCTCCTTTACCTTTCCTCCTCCTTTCCCCTGGTTTTCATGAAAGCCCCCACCTTCCTTTTCCTTTTTCCTCTCTAGCTTCCACACATGAGAGATACCCTAACCCTCGGCCAGTATTCAAGTCACTTCTGCAGTCCGTTCCCAGCCAGGCTGAACAAGACTGCTCTGCCTGCCAATCTGGCTCACAGGGTCGACCCCACATCTCCCTGCTGTGATTTGAATACAGTGTGTCCCCTCTGAAACTCATGGAAGTGTGGCTGCCTGGTGGTGGTGTTGGGAAGTGGGGCCTTTCTGAGGTCATTAAGAGACAAGCCGCTCTTGCGGGAACACAATTGCTGAACTTGGTACATTTCAAGCACTTTAGCCTTCCAGGACAGCAGACTGCTGATGAAAACCATCTTCTGCGGGCGCCATGTTAATGAGAGACCACAGTAGGTGAGGCAGCCCCTGTTTTGTTCCTCCCACACTTGCCCTTTGGCCATGAGGCCCTCAGCAGTGGCCAGGGCCATGCCCCCGGACTTCCCAGGCTCCAGAATAAATCTCTTTGTAACTGACCCAGCCTAGGGATTCTGTTACAATAACAGAAAGTGGACAAAGACTTCCCCAAGAGCGAAGGTGCCCTGCTGCTGATTCCACCCAGACTTTTAGAGGTGAGAAGCTGGCTGATGAAGGTCCTTTTTTTTTTTTTTTTTTTTTCCTTCACAGTATTGGTATTTGAACCCGGAGCACTTCACCAGTAAGTTATATCCCGAAACTCTTTTATTTTGAGACAGGGTCTTGCTAAGTTGCCCAGGCTGGCCTCAAGCCTCCTGAGCTGCTAGGATTACAGGTGTGCACCACTGCACCCACACTGAGGTGGCTTTTCTGCTCCATTTGAGCATCAGGGACAAACTGTAACTCTGAAAATAAATGTCAGCCTCAGCACTGACCCACTGGGCTCTCCTGCACCACCCCAGGAAACCATGGTCCAAGGCCTGGCTCATGATCCCCCAGTTACATCGGCAAAACCCTTGGGAAAGAGCAGCCCTCCAGGGAGCAAGCTATGAGAAAGAAGCCAGCGCGCCCACATACCTGGTGTGTGACAGATGTGTGGACAATTGCAGCCAAGGGTCGATGGATCCAGGAGGCTGAGTCCCGGCTCACAGATGATATCAAGGAACTCCTTCTTCAAGCACACGGAAAATGAGGCTGAGACCCTTCAGGTCACCTTCCATCAGCCTCCAAGCTTGACTTCCCCCAGAAGCAGGGGCCTAGGCCCCCTTCTCACCAGGGCCCTGGGACCTCCAACACCCAGCTGTCACTCACCACCAGCCCTTCCGACAAGTTCCCAGCAAGCCTCAGAAATCCCCGCACCTTCTATCCACTGGGCACTGTCAGGCACTGGAGGCTGCGGCCATGTGTCTAGGAGGAAGAGGACGATAAAGACCGCTCTCAGCACGGCCGTCACCTCACAGGTCACCTGCCTCTCTCTCTCTCTCTCTCTCTCTCTCTCTCTATATATATATATATATATATATATATATATATATATATATTCTATTTTATTTATATATATACCTATATATATTTTAATATTTTTAGTTGTAGGTGGAATCAGTATTTTTATTTACTTATTTTTATGTGGTGCTGATGATCGAACCCAGTGCTTCTTATGTGCAAGGCGAGCGCTCCATCACTGAGCTATAGCCCTAGTCCCTAAATATATATATATATATATATATATATATATGTGTGTGTGTGTGTGTGTGTGTGTGTGTATTTTTTTTAACATTTTATTTTTTAGTTGTAGGTGGACACAATACCTTTATTTTATTTTCATGTGGTGCTGAGGATCCAACCCAGTGCCCCACGCATGCTAGGCGAGCGCCCTTCCTCTGAGCACTGGCTTTTGTTCTCAACCAGGACAACCAATTTCCAATTTTCTATGTGACTTGAATGGACCACTTCCCCCACCTTTTTTCTTCTTCTTTCAGTAGTGGGGATTGAACCCAGGGGAGCTCTATCATTGAGCTACATGTTCAGTCCTTTCATATTTTTTATTTTTGAGACATGGTCTTGCTAAGTTGCTTAGGGCCTCACTATACTGCTAAGGCTGGCCTCAAACTTGCAATCTGCCTGCCTCAGCCCCTCAAGTCACTGGGATACAGGTGTACACCACTGCACCCAACAAATAGGTCACATCTCTTGACGTCAGTTTCGCTTCCTTGAAATCAGACAACACCAGTGGTTCCAAATTGTGTTAGATATTTGACTCAATGATTAATAAAAAGA